AGCTCACAGCAACCTTGAACTCCTGGGCTCAAGCGATCCTCCTGCCTCAGCCTCCCGACTAGCTAGGATTACAGGCATGCGCCACCATGCCCAGCTAATTTTTTGTATATATTTTTAGTTGGCCAATGAATTTGTTTCCATTTTTAGTAGAGACAGGGTCTCACTCTTGCTCAGGCTGGTTTCAAACTTCTGACCTTCATGGATCCGCCCACCTCAGCCTCCCAGACTGCTAGGATTACAGGCGTGAGCCACGGCGCCCGGCCAGTCATTATCTCTTGACTCCTTAGTTTGTGAGAGTATCCCCTAACCTTCTTTCCATGTCTTCTGGGATCTGCTACCTCCCAACTTGTGTCATTTGGTATTTTTCATTTTATGTTGTACAAGTTAATAACATTTATATTTTATTCTGTGTCTATAACACTTTCATGCTTTTGTATAGGCTAAATCTAAATGTTCAAAATAAATGGTAATTACATTGTTTGGCAAAGTAATTTCCCTGCATAGTTAGATACTATGACTACATTTTTTTTTTTTAATGGCCTTTTACTTTTACTGTGGCTTTTAATTGCATTTCTCTTTTTTTGTATTATCCATTTTAAAAATTATTTCCTTAAGTTATTCTGAACTCTTAAGAATCATATCAACTATCTTTAATTTTTTTGTTTGTTATTTTGGTCAAATTTACCTCCTTCCTGACACCCTTCATCCTCTTGCTCACTTTTAAGGTCTACATACACACTGCTATCCTAGGACTTCTTTTTAATTATGCTTCTGGGTTGCATTTATTGTTTCTTGCCTTAGATATCCTTCTCTGTCATGTTTTATTACCTCGTTTTGTTGAAGCACATCCTCAAGTAATCTCCTATGAGAGTTGTTGGAAGGCAAAGTTTCTTAGTCCTTGAATGTCTGAAATTGTTTATTCTACCATCTCATCTAATTGACAGTTTGACTTGGTAGAGTTCTCTAGGTTGAAACAAAAACTTCTCCTATAATAATGATGGGAGGTCTTCTGTCAGGCTGCTTCTCCTGTTCTCATAGATAGTATTTTTTTCTTTCTTGAATTTTTTAGGATTTTCTTATTTTGAAATTTTATAATGATGTGTTTATGTGTAGGCACATGGTAGAGACCCAGTTCTTCAACTTTATGAAATTCTATTATTTCTTTGAAAATTTCTTTCCCTGAATTTTCTCTGTTCTTTCCATAACTTCTATGCTTTGGAGATTGAACTTCCTGAGTTGATATTCTATAACTGTCCTGTTACCTACTTCTATATAACAACCCTCCCCTGAAACTTAATGATATAGCACAACAGTCTTTTAATATATTTCACAGTGGTTCTGTGCATCAGGAATTTTGGGAGGGCATAGTGGAAGTGGTTTATCTCTGGCTCAACTAGAGTGGCTCGAATGGCTAGAAGATGTCTAGGATGGCTGTCTATCAACTGGGTTCCTCAGCTTTGGACCTGAAATACTGGATTTGAAAACATCTAAGATGACTTCTCACTCACATTTCTGATGCCTAGGTGGGATGGCAGGACCAGGTTAGGGCTGGCTGGTATTTTTCTCCATATAGACTTTTCATATGCCTAGGTTAGGCTTTCTCATAACGGAGGATTCTTAGGGTAGTCAGATTTTTTTATATTGAAGCTGACTTTGCCCAAGAGCAGAAGTTCCTGGGCCTCTCAAAGGCTGGAATTTATGCAGATCACTTGTATGATTCTATTGGTCAAGACTGTCAAGGGGGCCGGGTGCGGTGGCTCACGCCTGTAATCCTAGCACTCTGGGAGGCCGAGGCAGGCGGATTGCTCGAGGTCAGGTGTTCAAAACCAGCCTAAGCAAGAGTGAGACCTCATCTCTACTATAAATAGAAAGAAATTAATTGGACAAATGATATATATAGAAAAAATTAGCCGGGCATGTTGGTGCATGCCTATAGTTCCAGCTACTCGGGAGGCTGAGGCAGAAGGATTGCTTGAGCCCAGGAGTTTGAGGTTGCTGTGAGCTAGGCTGACACCACGGCACTCACTCTAGCCTGGTCAATAAAGCGAGACTCTGTCTCAAAAAAAAAAAGAAAAAAAGACTATCAAGGGGCCAACCCAGATTCAGAGAGAGATGAAAAAGATACAACCTTTTGATATGACTACCTTTTATCTACCACATTGACTCTTATCTTTTATCTCATTTTTTATCTTCTTAATTCTATTTTCTAGAAGATTTCTTTTACTTTATCTTCTACCCTTTATAATGAATTACTTATTTTAAGTTATCATATTTTTAATTTCAAGAGCATTTCTTTACTCTCAGATTGCTCTTTATTCATAACATCCTATTGTTTTATTGATGACATCTTCTTATCTCTGAAGAAAATTAATCTTAAAAATTTTTAAATTTTCTCTATTTCTGAATTCTTTCTTTATTTCCCCTACTGTGGCTTATAAATATCTTTCTTTCATGTTTCAGGATTCTCTCAAATGTTTGAATACCCTGGTTATCTATTTATATTTTAAAATGAGGCAGTAAAAATCTACCCAGAAGTACATTGATGTACTCTCATCTTTTCCCTTTCTATGTCTTTCTCTCTTTCTTACTCTCTATATTCCTTAGGTTCCTGTCTTTGTCAGTCTCTCTCTCCTTCTCTCTCTCTCTCTCTCTCTCTCTCTCTCTCTCTCTCTCTCTCTCTCTCTCTCTCTGTTTCTCATATGTGTGGTTTGTAGATAGATTAGTGGTCTTTGCTTTAGGATAGTTGGGTTATGCTGGGTGAAATAAATGTTGAAATTTGGAGTTCTTTATGTAGATATGTCTAATTTTAAAAAGAGAAGTCTATGTGTGTGTGTGTGTGTGTGTGTGTAGGATACTAGCTGTCAAACATTACTGGTGAGAAAGTTGGGATGGGAGATGATCAATTATATCATTTATAGATTTTCAGTTAACTACCCTGTTTTTAGCTCCATGTGTCATTCCCACTCTCTGTTGTACTTGATTTCTCTAAATCAGGAGCCTCTTCTTGATATTTCAGGGAAGTTTGACTACTTCCTTGTTAACTTTTAAAATTCTCTTCCTTAACTTTGCCCCTCTCCCATTGTGAGTTTGCATTTTAAAATTCTTTATCATTTTGATGGACTCAGAGAGAAAGGAGATTTTTTTCGAAAGTGGCTAGTCTATTCTCATTAATCAGAAGCCAGTAATTATTTTAAAATTTTATTTTATAGATAATATAGTGAACATATGTAGTGTAAACCAGATTGTGTACTCTGGCCCAAGCAGCTGTCTCCCAAATGGATGTTAATGGTCTCAAATGGGGACTGGGTAAGAAAACAAAAGCAGTTAAGTCATTGAAAATCTACTTTTACTAATAGAAAAAAAATGCAGAAAAGTGTTCTGAGGAAGAGCCAGTGCTATCATCTGTATATACTAAATATAACAATATTATTATTTTTAGTTTTCTTTAATAGTCTAATTACTGGAGTTACACTTCCCTACCTGATCTGCCTGCTCAACTATTAGTCATCCTTTAAAATCCTGTATAGTCATCACCTCTGTAAAGTTTCCTTAATATCCCTTTGACAGAGTTACTTGCTCCTTCTCTCAACTCCTTCTGTACCTGTTCAGATACTTTTTGTCCTGTACCTGTTTTGTCTGTACCTGTTCAGATACTTTTGTCCATTATTATTCTCTCTTGTAGCCTTATATTTATATATAGTGACATAAAGTAGTTTAGTGTTAGCCAGGGCTAGAGTGAAAAGCCATGGGCAGTGACCACTAATAGGTATGGAGTTCCTTTAGGGGATGATGACAATATTCTGGAATTAAATAGTAGTGATGTTGCACAATTCTGCAAATATACAAAAACATTGAGTTATACACTGTAAAAGGATGAATGAAGTTCATGATATCTGAATGGGAGATGTCTGAATGGCACCTCAATAAATCTGTTAATCTTTTCTGTTACAATGAAGCTAAACTTACAATCATCTGAAAGTAGTGCTGATTGAAAATATTTGGGGGAAAGATGATAAAAAAATAACAATAAAAATAATACAAATAAAAAACCACAATATAATATAACAACTATTTACATAGCATTTATGTTGCATTAGGTATTATAAGTAATCTAAGGATGATTTAACGTATACAGGGATATGCATAGGTTATATGCAAGTACTATATATAAGGGACTTGAGCATCTATGGATTTTGGTATCCACAGGGGTCCTGAAACCTGGATACTGAGAGATATCTGCATATAGTGGGCAGAGAAAAATAAGGTAGCAAATAAAGGAAGTCAAAATGATGAAAGATGGTGAAATTAACAGATCATTTTGAATATTTCTAAAAGATCAAAATTATCTGATAAAGGCAATGAACATATTTCAATCAAGGATAGGAAAACCATTTTGCTTTTCAATTATTTCTCTGTATTAAACTCTGAGATGGGAGCATTTTCATTTCTTATTTTGCAAATGAAATAAGACAAAGAGAGGGTATTTTACCCTTCTCATGGTGAATCAGTTCACTGGATCCACATTAGAGTCCAAACTCAATCTTTGTCCAGACTAAAAACTACAAACTTCATGAAAACCTGATCAATGACCTTAAAGATGACTCAAGACCTTTGATAATCTATTTTCATTTCTGTTATTAACTATCCCATAATCATGAAGAAGCTGTTTATCACCATTGTCCTCTAAACAGAATAAATTAATGCCTATTACAGAAGACTGTAGCTGATTGTTTCGGGTTTAATGCATTTGATTCTCAGCTGAGAAGACAAGACACATAAAATATAAATTTTCATTCAATAAATTGTTGATTAGTCTTAAAAGCATGAATTATACGGTGTTTATTCACTAAACATTTATTCAGGAACTGCTCTCTTAAGGTTTTCTGCTAGGCAGGCTATAGGATAATAAAGAGTTGAAAAAAGATGTATGCCTTTGCCCAGTAGGATTTTATGGTCTTGAAGTAGTAATCTAAAAGTTAATGCTTTTCTCACTTTTCTAGGTATCTCTAAAATTCTTTCGTATTTGATTAGTTCTCTCGAATTCTGTACTTTCAAGTTGGAAACCCTTCTGGATTTTCCTCAGATGGCTCTCGAAGAATGGGAGGGAGTTAATGAAAAAATTAATGAAATGAAATCACAGTTGGATCCATCATTGAGCATTATTGGTACTGTGCCACAGTACTTAGACATGGATTCTGGCTTGTAAGTTTCCATAGTTTTTTTGAGAGAATGCTTTAAAGCTTTATTGCGATATAATTCACATATCATACAACTTGCCCCTTTAAAGTGCACAATTCAGTAGCTTTCATTATATTTATAGATATAAACAACCATTACCAGTCAATTTTAGAATATTTTATGACTTTGGAAAGAAGCCTCATATTCTTTAGCTATCACTCTGCCATCCTTCATCCTCTTCCATCACCCTAGCCCCAGCCCTAAGCAACTACAGATCCTTCTATCTCTGTTGATTTCCCTGTTTTGGACAGTTCTTTTTTTTTAAAGGAATCATATACTATATGGTCTTTTGTGACTAGCTTCTTTCATTTAGCATAATATTTTCAAGATTCATCCATATTGTGGCATGTTTCATCAGTATTTCATTTGTTTTTATGACTGAATAATATTCTATGTATAGATATACCACATTTTATTTATCCATTTGTCCATGGCTGGACATTTGGATTATTTTCTTCTCTTGGCATTCATGAGTAATCTTGCTATAAACATTCAGGTACAAGCTTTTTGTGGACAGAGATAGGTTTTCATTTCTCTTGGGTATATACCTAGGAGTAGAATTGCTATGTCATATATTAATTCTATGTTTAGTGATTTCAGGAACTGCCAGACTATTTTCCAAAGTGCTTTTGGAAGACATACACCATTTTATATTCATACCAGCAGTCTATGAGGGTTCTGACTTCTCCACATATTCACCACTACTTGTTATTTGACTTTTTGTTTTGTTTTGTTTTGAGACAGGGACCCACTCTGTCTCTCAGAATGCGGTGCCATCATAGCTCACTGCAGCCTTGAACCCCTGGGTTCATTGTGGTTTTGATTTACATCTCCCTAATGACTAATGATGTCAAGCCTTATTTCATGTGCTTATTGGGTATTTATTTATTTTCTTTGGGGGAATTTCTATTCAGATCCTTTGCCCTTATTTTAATTGGGTCATTTGTATTTTTATTATTGAGTTGTGAGGTTTTTTTTTTTTTTTTTTAGACAGAGTCTTGCTCTGCTGCCTGGGCTAGAGTGCCGTGGTGTCAGTCTAGCTCACAGCAACCTCAAACTCCTGGGCTCAGGTGATCCTCCTGCCTCAGGCTCCTGAGTAACTGGGACTGCAGGCATGTGCCACCACACCTGAGTAACTTTTTATATTTTATTAATAGTTGCCCAGATAATGTTTTTTTCTATTTTTAGTAGAGACAGGGTCTCACTCCTGCTGAGGCTGGTCTTGAACTGCTGACCTCAAGCCATCCTCCTGCCTTGGCCTCCCAGAGTGCTAGGATTACAGGCGTGAGCCACCACGCCTAACTGTGAGTGTTCTTTATATATTCTGGATATAAGTCACTTTTCAGATATATGAATTGAAAATATTTTCTCCCATTCTGTAGGTTGTATTTTCACTTTCTTGATGGTGTTGTCTAAATGATCATAAGTTGTTAATTTTTATGAAATCCAACTATTTTGTTGTTGCTGCTGTTGTTGTTGCTTGTGCTTTTTGCTGTCATATCTAAGGAATGACAAGGAATCCTTTGCCAAATCCAAGGTCATGAAGATTTACTCCTATGTTTTCTCCTAAAAGTTTCATAGAATTTGCTCTATTATTAAGGTCTCTGATCAATTTTAGTCAATTTTTTTTTTTTTTTTTTAGACAGAGTCTTACTTTGTTGCTTGGGCTAGAGTGCCATGGCATTAGCCTACCTCATAGCAACCTCAAACTTCTGGGATCAATCAATCCTTCTGCCTCAGCCTCCTGAGTAGCTGGGACTACAAGCATGTGCCTCCATGCCTGGCTAATTTTTTCTATATATTTTTAGCTGTCCAATTAACTTCTTATTATATTTGGTAGAGACGGGGTCTCGCTCTTGCTCAGGCTGGTCTCGAACTCCTGAGAGTGCTAGGATTACAGGTGTGAGCCACTGCGCCTGGCCTTTAGTTAATTTTTGTAGATAATATGAGGTAAGGGTCCAACTTCATTCTTTTACATGTGGATATCCAGTTGTACCAGCATCATATTTTGAAAAGGCTATTTTTTCTCAATTTAATAGTATTGGCACCTTTGATGAAAATCAGTTGGCCATACACATGGATTTATTTCTGAACTAGCAATTCTGTCACATTGATTTACATGTCTAACCTTGTGCTAGTACCACTCTGGCACAGTGTCTTGATACCTCTTGCTTTGTGGTAGGTTTTGGAATTGGGAAATGTGAGTCTTCCTATTTGACTTTTCTGTTTCAGGATTGTTTTGGCTCTTCTGGGTACCTTGCAATTACATATAAATTTTAGAATCAGCTTTTGTCAATTTTTTTAAAGACGTCAGCTGGGACTCTGAAAACATTTTGTTGAATCTGTACATCATAATGGGATTATTGCCATCTTGAAAGTGTTAAGTCTTCTGATACCTGAGCATAGGATTTTTTTTAGTTACTTGGATCTTCTTTAATTTCTTTCCATATTGTTTTATGGTCTTCTGAGCTTTGTACATTTCTTTTGTTAAATTTATTCCTATGTTTTTTATTTTTTGATGTTATTGCAAATTGGATTCTTTTTAGGATATTATTTCAGATTGTTCATTGCCTGTATATAGGAATACAATTGATTTTTGTATATTGATCTTGTATCCTGAAACCTTTTGAACTTATTTATTAGTTGCAGTAATATTTTAAAGGATTCCTTAGTATTTTTTATATTCAGGATCATGTTACCTGTGAGTAGAAGAAGTTTTTTATAAATTTGGATGCCTTTGATTTCTTTCCCTTGCCTGATTGCCCTGGCTGTAACTTCAGTACAATAATAAATGGAAGATGTGAGAATGGACATCTTTGATTTGTTCCTATAATTAGGGGGAAAGCGTCCAGACTTTCACCATTAAGTATGAAGTTAGCTGTAGGTTTTCAAAATGCCTCTTATCAGGTTTAGAAAGTTTTCTTCTATTCCTAGTTGTTGAATGCTTTTACATGAAAAGGTATTGGATTTTGTCAAATGGTTTTTCCACATCTATTGGAGGTGATCATGTGATTTTTGTTTTTTTATTCTATTCTTGTGGTGTGTTATATTAATTTTTTTAACATTAAATCAACCTTGCTTGCCTGCAATAAATCCCACTTAGTCAGTGTGTAATACTTTTTGTAAGTTGCAGGATTCTGTTTGCTAGTATTTTGTTGAGGAATTTTACATCCATATTCACAAGAGACATTCATTGGTCTGTTTTCTTTTCCTGTGGTGCCTTTGTCTGGTGATGTATCAGGATAATACTGATCTCATGAAATGAGTTTGGAAGTGTTCTCTCCTTTATTTTTTGGAAGACTTTGTGAAGAATTAATGTTAATTCATCTTTGGCTCTTTGGTAGTATTCTGTAGTGAAGCCATCTGTGGGTAGGTTTTAGATTACTGATTCAGTCTCTTTTACTTGTTACAGGTCTATTCATATTGTCTATTTCTTCTTGAGTCAGTTTTGGTTTTTTGTATCCTAGGAATTTGACAATTTCATCTATATTGTCTAATTTGTTGGCAGAATTGTTCATAGTATTCCCTTATAATCCTTTTCATTTCTGAAAGGTCAATACTAGTGTCCCCCTCTCTCATTTCCTATTCTAGTTATTTGAGCCTGCTCTCTATTTTCCCTGGTCAATGTAGCTAAATGTTTATTATTAATAATGTTGTTGATCTTTTCAAAGAACCATCTTTTGATTTCATTGATTTTCTCTAGTGTTTTTCTGTTCTTTATTGTATTAATTTCCATTCTAGTCATCATTATTTCCTTTTATATGTTTTTTTATATTTAGTTTAATCTACTTTTATATAGTCTTAAGGTGGACTATTAGGTTATTGATTTGAGATTTTCTCCTTTCTTAATGTAGGTTTTATAGTTATGAATTTTCTTCTAAGGACTGCTTTATCTGCATCCTATACGTTTTGACATGTTGTATCTTTATTTTCATTAATCTCAAAGTATTTAATTATTTCTCTTTTGATTTCTTAATTGACCTATGTGTTATTTAGAAGTATGTTATTTGATTTTCACATATTTGTGAATTTCCCAGTTTTTTCCAGTTATTGATTCCTAATTCCATTCCATTGTGGTATGTGTATATATTTTACATTATTGTAGCCTTTAAAATTATGGAGGTTTGTTTTATGGCCTAGTATCTTGTCTATCCTGGAGAATTTTCCATGTATACTTGAGACGAATGTATTAATATATTCTGTTGTTATTCGATGGAGTATTCTATAAATGTCTGTTTAATATAGTTCATAGTATTGTTTAAGTCTTCTGTTTCCTTGTTAATCATCTGTCTAGTGGTTCTATCCATTATTGATAGTCGAATATTGAAGTCTCCAACTATTATTATTTAATTGTCTCTTTCTCCCTTCGTTTCTCTCAGTATTTGCTTCATGTATTTTGGTTCTCTGTTATTAGGTGCACATGTTTATATTGTTATATTGTTATACTGTTATATTGTCTTGATGGTTTGCCCCTTTTAGCATTATAAAATTTCCTTCCTTACACCTAGTAACATTTGTTTTTTTAATTTCAGAGTATTATGGGGGTACAGACACTTTGGTTACATAAATTGCCTTTGCACTGCCCAAGTCAGAGCTACAAGCATGTCCATCCCCAAGACAGCACGCACTGCATCCATTAGGTTTGGATTTACCCATCCCCTTCTCCCCACTCCCACCTGGCCTATACCAGATGAATGTTACTTCCCATATGTGCACGTTACTGTTGATTGATTAGTACCAATTTAATGGTGGGTACATGTGGTTTTCATTTTCCATTCTTGTGATATTTCACTTAAAAGAATGGGCTCCAACTCCATCCAGGATAATATTAATACAATATTAATACAAGAGGCAGTTCACCGTTTTTAATGGTTGCGTAGTACTCCATGGTATACCTGTACCACATTTTATTAATCCACTTGTGTATTGATGGGCACTTGGGTTGTTTCCACATCTTTGCAATT